TGTTCGAATCGAATAATGAAATCAAGAATTTTACTTGGTAAAATGCTGAGATACGCAAACCAGTCCCACGTGTCTGCCCGGAAAAATTTTCTCAGGCTCTTCATTTTCAATCCAACTAATGCCCGTAGATGTCAAGAGCAGTGTAGATCGGATGCAATTAAACAGTGAAATAAAGTCAAACTAAATACTAACTAATAGTATCTGTTTAGTAACTATTAGTCACTATTACTCAACCAGAACATTTATTCAACAAGACACAAATGGTCTCTTGTGTATTTGTCTTCGTATGATGAATGTTCTAGTTGAGTGATAGCAACTATTAGTCACTAAATAGATACTAATAGTTAGTATTTAGTTTGATTTTATTTCACGGTATAATTGCATCCGCTCTAAGTGTTGTGCCTTTGTGTTGTTTAAAGCAAACTGAAGATCGACCTTGTTTCTTTGGAAATCTCAAGGGTTTATACTTATAAGCTAGACTCGCTAAGAAATGAACTTCATCGCATAATCTTTGCCTGCATCTATTCTTCATGTGTGGCGTGACGTCAAGAAAGGGTGTTTCATTACTCACTACGAAGTCCTGTTCTGAGGAAATTCCATACTCAAGAAGCAGTTCTGGACAGTTTTATTTTGACTTATACAGTTTACTGAGCCCTAATGTACAATTACCGTACTTCATTCTGTCATTTAGTTGTAAGATCGGATAGCATTTAAACAGTGTAAACACGATAAACAATCGATTTTTCGAAGTACGAGAGTAAGATTTCCCAGACTTATTAATTCCATTATTTTCTTATTGTTCAAAACCATTTAGATTAAAGCTTAAGATCTCCATCTTGTGTAAATAGTTAGCTATATTCTTGGTCATAAAAAGTTAACCTTACAATGGGTGGTTGTTGACTCGAAAGTTTTAAGTACTTGGACAACCACACACACCATAAATTAGCTCTCCCCGCTTATAATTAATTTAGTTTCAACTTTCTTTTCATTATTCATTAATATTACTCCTGTGAATACTTGTATATATTTATGTGTGTGGGAAACAATAAAAAAGTTCAAAAATTGTTCATAATGTTCAAAGACTTATTACTTAATTCTCGCGAACGCAACTAAACAAAAATCGAGCACAAAACTACTTTTGCAACTATCAATGTAAATCCGTTTGGGGTGGGGGATCAGCGTGGACTGAGTACAATACATTGAAATTTCTCAGGTTTCTCAACTAGTTATAAATAATTCAATGACATTACTTTGTATCTGTCCGATGGGCTTTTATTTTTTTTCATTTGACCTTCCATTTCTTTGGAGCGGTTACAAACTGTCAGATTACACTGATTTTCTACTCTATTTGCTTTAATCGTAACTGAGCCGTGGTACATTCTCATCCAGCTCTAGGGAAGCAGCACCGGTTCAGGCCATTTTGACAGGAATGAGTATATCCATAACCACTTGGACAAGTGCCTCTGAGGATCCAATGGTCTCCATAGGGTGGCTCGTCATTTTCCCCACAATAGCAGCTGAGTGCACGCTTTTCTTCTGTCAATACTGTAAAATATGATGTGGAAGAGAGTTCATACTGTATAATATGGAGGAGAGTCAATATTGTATAATATGACGTGGAGGAGAGTTAATACTGTAAAATATGATGTGACGGAGAGTCAATACTGTAAAATATGACGTGGAGGAGAGTCAATACTGTAAAATGATGTGGAGGAGAGTCAATGCTGTATAATATGATGTGGAGGAGAGTCAATACTGTAAAATATAATGTGGAGGAGAGTTAATACTGTAAAATATGATGTGGAGGAGAGTCAATACTGTAAAATGATGTGGAGGAGAGTCAATACTGTATAATATGATGTGGAGGAGAGTCAATACTGTAAAATATGATGTGGAGGAGAGTTAATACTGTAAAATATGTGGAGGAGAGTTAA